ACTATATGAAAAACAGTTCGGGTAGAATTTATTCGTCCTTGAAACACTCCGAAAAGTTTAAAAACAAATTCAAGTGCTGCATCAGGCACATTGTTGGGTTAAATAGTTAAAGCAATTTATTAGCTTTTTATATCTTAGCGTTGCAACTAAGAACAACTTTAAAATTGAAATGGGTTAAAGTGGGTAATTGGTGATTGTCCTCAATTCTCGACCAGACGCACTAGTCAGAATCTGCGCATTTAGATTATCAGTACCAGTTTCATTTATAAACTTATAATTTTCGAAGTATCAATAACTATGCTGGTAACAGTTTGTATTGGAACGAAATTATTAAGTAATTTCCACTGTCGAGGCTAAAGCTTTCTAGAGTGAAGTTTCCACTTCTCTGCACCGACACGATGTAGCGTTTTCTGCTTTGTATTTCGCTTTGAGAACAGACCGAAAATGAAAGGGGTTGGAAATGAATGCATGGGAATATATATGATGAATTTTGATATGCAGTGTCATACCATGAAGAATTTTTTGAATTTTCAACTGTACCATTTGATCTGGAATTAGACATTAAGCCAGCGCCCTCATTCTGTTTTAGATCTTGGCTTGCTGTAGAAGCATTCTGTGAATGTCTCCTTACCGTGTTTCAGTGCTGTCGTTACAAACGAACGATTAGCAGGATAATCTTTAATTTACAAAAGTATTAGATGTTAGATTACATAATATTCGTTTGAATCAAGCAAATTTTGAAGAAAAAATTGAAACAGTGTAAGCAGCAAAGATGATCGACGAAGTTGATGAACAACATGGAATATCAACAACGATTATTCGCATTATTAAAAAGATATGTATCGAGTGCAGTGCGAGTTAATAACAGGTTAGGAAAATTCCGTCGTAAGCAGTTTGGAGTTAGGCAAGAAAAAGTAAAATCCTCATAGCTGTTTTCGATTATTTTGATTGGGTACTCCATCCAGTACGAAGGAGTGAAGCAATGGCGGCAAGAGTGGGCAACATGTGCGTAAGCCTTCTGGCATTTACAAACGAATGGATAATAGCCGCATTCCAAAGCGATTACTTGGCGCAAAGCTTTTACAGGCTTCTGCAAGGAAAACCTTCAAAAAGATGACAAGATCTCATTGGAAGTGACAGCATTGAAAATACTAGAGGGTGGACATGCGGTTATTCGATCAAGGTGGAATGGTTGTACGGCATTCGGCATGGTCTTTGATACAGTCGGATGAGAAATACAATATCAACATACTGTATGATTAGAAGCGAAGGGGAGGAGTGTGCAAGCGGATCAGATACCGTGGAAGCGATAATGAAAAGGTGGGTTCAGTTCTTTCAAGACAGACGTGCAGAAATGAGTTGAAGCAGTGCAAC